GAATACAGTCCCCTTCTCCCAGTTGATGGCACAGGTAATAGAAAGGGGGAAAGTGATTACTGCTTAGGCTAGAAAAGGCCTGGAAATCAGGATATGACCCAGGTGACTAAGTTGTTGCTGTGGTACACCTCTGGTGCCAACAGATGAGATGATTTGCAGTAGGGCAGAAGCCACATGCTCCTCACTCAGCCGCACAATTGAATAGCTGGGGGAGCCTGGCCAGCATCTCTGCCCATAGGCCTGAGCATCTCTCGGGCAGCCTGGCCAGCAGCTCTGCCCATAGGCCTGAGTAAAGGATGCTATTATTTTCAGGTTGGCCTGAGAGTCTTACCATTAAATGTATCCTTTTGCTGGAGCCATGGATAAGAGGTTCACACCTCTGCCTCCTGGCTGGTGGGGAGGCTAACACATTTACATGAACTGAGGTTAATTTTAGAAGCCAGCTCCCTGGCAGGTTTCAGGGCATGGGCAATATGATGGAGAATACTACATCATCAGATTGAGATGCAGGGCATGGTTTGGATGAACTGAAGTTAAAGTTTCCTTTACTTTCAGCTCTGTTTTCTTTCCCCCATGCCAGTTGACCACCCCACATCCCTTTGCTTTCTTCATTTCCCTTCAAGGGCAAACCCAGCAACCATGGGTCACAGGCATACTGATGTGGAACAAACCACAAGAATGTGCTTTAGTGACCGGGGGTCCCTCTTGAACCCAGTTTATTAACATTCAGTAAAAGAAATATTTGTTATTACAAACAGGCAGTGCATCAAGATATCCAGACATCAATGAGAACTAGGATTGGAGAGGTCACAATCCAGGCAATTCCATGATGTCTCGGGGATAGGGAAGGGGAAGCTAGGGCACATCCAGGGGCCATGCTTCCCATTTTTCACTGGGAGAGAAAGAACTCTTACACCTGGGGTAAGGATGTACTGCAGTTTCCAACTTCTTTCCTTTGTCCCCCAGCCATTTTATTTAACATGACCTAAGTATACATTCCTGGTCCCCCCCCTCTGACGCCCCACCCCCATATACATCAGGGAAAATAAGCACCAATAGTAACAAGAATAATAATTAAAGCCCCGCCTCTCAGTAGGTCCAGTCCTCACACACACACGTGCCATGTGAATTTTCTTCTTTGGAGTGACTATATAATGGAAAAGTAGGTAATCAGGCCAGCAAGCCATCACCCTAATAGTCACTGTTCCCCCAAAGTTCCATCCATGTGTGAGCTGGAGCACAGCAGGGGAGTGGGAATGGTGGTAGAGGAAGAGATTCCCCCAAAGCAGCAAGAGGGGTCAAAGAATTCCCCAATGTCTCTTCTGGGTGAATGTCACAATCAACTGAGCTCCTTGGAAAGTCCCATGTAAGGGTTTCCTCAATGAGATGGCCAATTCCTGATGGTTCAAGCATCACTTTCATTTGTGTCCCCCAGCTTCTTGGGGAAATGGGGAATAGTTGAGAAATCTCCTGCCCTCCTTACTGGGTGGAGAATACCCCCAAAATGCTCTTTGGAGAAACCCAACATGACAAATAGCAAAACATGGGCATTCTAGTTTCAAAACTAGAGCAGAAAACATAAAGAGGAAAGAGAGAGACACAGACATGAGTACTTCTAGAAGATCTACACACAGGGAAGGGCGAGTCTGAAAGAAAAAAATAAAACCATAAAAAGACATGCTATCTACCAGGTTCCACATGCCTGAGTCACCTGGCATTTGTCTTAATACCTGGGCATCTTATGCTGTCCCTATCATGGAGGGAGGGGATGGACAGTGCGATACATCAGGGATGGGGAGAGGGGAAAGAGCGAGGGTCTTGGGCAATTGAGATGCCAGCCCTCTGCACAAGCAGCAGCAATTTTTGTGTCATCTTCGTTTTGTCTAAAACTGTAAACAGCACCGCTTAAAAATAAAATATATCAGAAAAGAACAATTGATACATTGTTTTCCATGAATATAAAATGCAAACAATACAAAAATAGATAATTGACTTTTGATATATATATATATATATATATTAAAAACAACTTGGATGCAACATACACATGGGTAAACTTGAAGTCTCCCTGCTAAACCCCGACTCCCTCTAGCAATTGGGCCTGAGGGCCAAGGGCAGGTGGGGTGGTAGCACTGGCAAGGGGAGGAAAGTCACTGGCAGCAGGATGAGGGGAATGCACCCTGGGTGTGGGAAGTTACTTCCCTCCTTGGTACAGTATTGAGGGAGAAAAGACTGGTGTTGACCAAAGCCTCTGGCCCAGAAGGCTCATGGACTGTTGCCTAAGTTGAGTCCAGATGATTGGGGCAGGCCCTAAAAGAGCCCCAAGGCAGGGTTTCCTTGAAGGCGTTAAAACAAAGAAACTGACAGCCCTGGGAGCGACGTTCTAGGTGGTCTTCTCTATCCAGTCATTGGTCCCTTAAGGATCAGTCTCATTTGGGAATTCTCAGGATCAGAGCTATCTGACACTATATATAAGCCTGCTTGCTGGATAGCAAGATAAGAGCAGTCACCTTCTCCCAAGTCGTACCTTCTTGTGAAGTCACATCCAAAAACATTGACTTTGCAATGCTGAAATGATGTTCATTTGTGGACTTAACATCTACACATTTAATAGCCTGGGACATATTTGGTGTTAGCCAAGCTAACACTGGTGTATATTTGGGGAGGGGCCTAGAGCTTGGCTGGCTCTTCCAGTGTCACCCTGTGCTGTCACACAAAGTCTCCAGCTGGTCCTCCTTCCTCTTCTAGGCCACAGCTGGGATTCAGAAATGAACTGCTTGGATCTAGAGTAGACTCAAAGGAGCCTGCTTCTGCAGCCATACACCCTGACTGCCTTATTTCTGGTGGTGAGGATCCTGTTTCTGGGCTGGCCAGGAAAGTGAAAGGACTTGCAGGCAGCAGTGTTCAAACCATGAGCTGATGCTCAGTCCTAAAACTTACTGTGATATGAGACTTTCCAGAGCCCAGCAATGTGTGTCAGGGCTATGACTGCCCCCTTCAGAGGTGGCACCTCTTGCTGCCCTTGTGCTACAGAGGGCAGCTCTCAGCCCTTGGCCAAAGGTTGACCACCTACTTTTTCTCTTCTCAGACAGGCTGGTGATCCAGCAGGCTCTGGTAGTTGGTGATGGCTCTACTACCTGCTGTGGTTGGCACAGTCTACATACAAACAGGAGCTTGAGCTGCCCTGAAGGACAAGCAGAGACAGAAGAGGCAAGTGGTGAGCGTTCCCCTGTTGTAAAGGCATTTGGTGAGTGTCTCCTTCCTGCCAAACAGCCAGGCCAATTTTAGTCCCACCCTCCCAGGGCAACTTTGGTGAGAAGCCAGAATTGGGGCACTTCTCTCTTAATGCTTTGCTAGGGTTGAGGAGGGCCTTTCTCACCTTCTTTGATTCTCCAGCTTCATGATTGACAGATTTCTTCATAATGCAGACAAAGTCAGCCTGGAGAGCTGGTCTGCATCCCTTGAATGTTGGTGTTGGTGCCATGCAAATTCATGTGGTGCTTCCAGGGGTACAGCTTCTACCATCCAGGTTTACTTTTTGTGGGGAGGGGCACTGGGCCAACCCCAATCCAAAAAATGGTGACAAAGACCAGCACAGACACATCCCATGGCCAAGGGGCAGTTTTCCCACAAAGTCATCTTGACTTGGGGTGGCAGGCAACAGTATCTCTTCTGGAATAGCAAGAGCCCTGTTTACCTCTTAATAGGCATGGAGATGGGTGGAGGATGGGGACAGGATCAAGGGAACAAGGATCATAATTTGGGTCAACATATATAGGTAAAAAGTTTCATATACCATTTCCAATGGTGAAATTTAAAAGGACCCCTCCGTATTTGTGATTAATGAGAGATAGAGCCTGGCAAGATTAGCCTGTTGCAATGTCTTCCTGACAGCAACTCTTCCTCACCAATATTTCCAAGCTAGTTTAACATGAAAACTGTGTGAATGCAGAAATAAGGGTGCCATTCTTTCCATAAGGGGCTGCAATTACCACACAAATCAGAGTCCTTCAGCTTGGCAGAGCGAGGGCAGATCACAGTCTTTCCTCTCAAGACGCCCAGTCCTATGATGATACTAAGAACTTGGCTAATTGGAAAATGAAGGCTCTTTAGAAAAATTGGAACAGCAACTTAAATACCCTTGGTGTCCTGTCTCTTGGGAATGCTAGCATGAAGCCTCTTTAAAGCATTCAGTGAAAGGGTGGGCAAGGCTTAAGGAACTTTTTGTCTTTGGGGGAAAGCAATTTTCCCTTTTCAGAAGCTGAGTTGACATGAGCTCTGCAATGTATGAAATCCTCTCTCCTGATGAAAAGAATGAATGAATCTCCTTTTCCTATCCTTCTCCTGCAACCTGTAAAAATCCCATCCCCTACAGCTGAGCCTAGTTTAGGCCACTTCTCTTCCCGTATCTCAATTAAAAGAATGTGTTCCTTGTAATGAGATAACGAAAATTTCCTTTGGAGAAAAAAAGAACCAAAATTCAAAAGCATCTGCAATTCAGGCTGTCACAAGCTTAAAGAAACAAAGAAGGAAAAAAAAAACTATCATTCTGGAGCTCAAGACTTATGGTAGTGTCTACAATATAACCCTATTTTGTCTTGTTTGCAACTAGATGAATTTGGTCATTACATTAAGGAAATTAGCATTTTTGTCTTCAACCCAAGCTATAGCAGGCCAGGTTAAAAGACCCTCACTGGTTATGATGCCTAAGTCCATAGGAACAGGCAGTGAGACACATGCTACTTGATCCTCTCTGAGGACAGCAAGCTGGGGCTACTAGATTATACATCTGATGTGATGGTGGCAGCTATGCCAAGACCAAAGGAAGTGGGAGTGGGGAGGATCTGTACCATAATTTCACACTGCTAACAGCAAACAAGCTAACAAGCTCCTTGTCCCCAAGTGGGAGGCAGTGTAGACCTGGCTGCTCATCTACTGGATGGAGAAACGGCAGAGGTGCTAAGGGTTCAGACTGTGTCAAGGATGCATGATAACACTACCTTGGCAATTGGAATAGGCACAAAATTAGAGCATCTCAAACCCTGCATGGGTCACAAGGAAAACACCCAAAAGCAAAAATTGGAGCACAGAAGCAGCAATCTCTCAGGGCAGATGTACTTGAGCTGAATGTGGCCACAGATGGCAGACAAGGGAAGTGGGAAAACAAAGGTGAAAACTCATAGGAGCTTTCCTTGGCCAAAAGGATTTTCAAGTTAAACAGCAACCCCCACCCCCACCCCTCTGCCCAACCCTTATCCCCATTCACATGCTCAGGCCCCATGCCCCTCACTCCAGAACTGATGATAACTACTCAGCTAGTTTTCCATTCATAGCAGTGGAGGAGCAGCTGGTGGGGAGAGAGGCACCTTGCTCAGCCTTCTCCTTTGACAGGTCAAGGCTGGGAGCCCCATAGTGAATGGGCTGAGGCTCTAGGGGCTCAGGCCGGATCCTGGGCAGCTGAGGGATGCCATGAGTAATGCCCACAGGCTTGGCCTGGGGCACAGGGCTGGGGTTGAAGCCTCCAGAAATGGAGGAGCAACTGGGCTCATCAACAGGCAGCAGCACATCTTGAGGCCTGGCCCTCACACTTTGGGAGGCCTTTGGCTGGAGGTTATAACAAGGGCCCATGGGCAGGGGTAGGTGTGAAGGCCGAGCTAGCTGAGACTTGGATTCCCCAGGTGCCCTTGGCTCTGGCCCTGATACTGACAGCAACATTGACATGGTGAGAGGAGATATGCAACAGACTGCCTGCCCATAGGGATGGCTAGAAGGCCCATCCAACTGGCTAGGACTTATCCAGGCATGGCCAGGTCCCACTGGGAGAGGACAGGGAGGCCAGGCAGGCCAGTCGTAGGATCCTGGAGGTTCAGTATAGAGAGACAGGGGACTGTCTCGGCCCCATTCGTCCTCCTCCTCTTCTTCATCTGAATCTTCTTGCTGGGCCTGAAGCTCATCAGACTCCATATAGCCTTGGGTCAGGTGAGAATTGGAGAGCTCCAGCTCCAGGGTCTCAGCAGTGTCAAGGGAGCGGCTCCTCCTGCTGAGGGCCATGGCAGCAGGTGGAGGACGAGGGTGCATGCCAGGCAATCCCAAGTATCGAGGGAGACTGCTCACACCCCAGGGTAGGCCTTGGTAGAATCGGCTGCGGTAGTTGTTGAAGGCATGTTTCTGGTAGTAGCCCAGTTCAAAAGCTTCCAAGGAGGCTGCAAGGTCTTCATCATTGTGGAACTCAGGATTTTCTTCACACTTGCCTTCCCCATCCCGCTCCACATCAGCGATATCAAAGGTCACCATGGGAGGCAGCTCAGGAAGGTTTTGAGTGAAGGATGAATCAGAGTCAGAGCTGCAGGACATGCTGGAGAAGAGGTTCCCATTGCTGGTGAACTCCACAAGGGCCTGAGAGAAACTCACAGTAGCATTCCCTTCCTTCTCAACATCCTCTTCCTCTGGCTCCTCAGGGGGTGAATAAGTAGGGTAGGCCCTCCTGGGAGATCCTCCGAAATTTGCTTCTTGCATGTCTGGCTCAAACATAGCATCACTCTGGAAGAGTTGCATCAGGCAAGTACTTTGATCTTTCTTGGAGCAGCTTCCCTCAAAACGCTTCTCCAAAGGACGGAAGTCCCTCCAGTCTGGCTCGCTGCTTGCAGTGGCAGGGAAAGCTGAGGTGGTTCCTCTGTGAGAAGTCTGAGAGGCCCCTGATGCCCCTTCCACCAGACCCATCACTGATGGGCCTAAAGGCCTCATTTGATACTCTATGATGGGCTTTTCCTGCCGCACCTGGGCCTCTCGGACTTGAGCCTCTCGAGCACGGACCTCTTGGCCACAGGCCTCCCTGGCATAGGCCTCTCGAGGTCGGGCCTCTCTGACATAAGCTTCCCGGGTGTGGGCCTCTCGAGCATGGGCCTCTCTGGTGTGAGCCTCTTGGGCACATGCCTCCCGGGCCTCTCGCTGCTCCCGCTGAAGCTCCCAATATAGCAACTGTTTCTGGATGGCCACTAGCCGTTCTTCCTCTGTCTCCATTGCCCCAGGTGGCCGAGGGGAAGAAAAGGGCTCAAAGTTCAAGAAGGGGTCAAACATCTCAGAGCTGTGACCATGGAGGTCATAAAGGCAGTCATCCCCAGGTGGGGAGTTCTCAAGACTATCATCTGGCTCATAGAACTCATAGAGGGCATCACCACTATAGCTGTCTCGGGGCAAGCAATCCCTACGGACAAGCCCCAGGGCCTCACCTGAATCATCCTCAAGTCCCGGTGTAGTAGAGTCATAATAACCCTCATCACTATTGGGGGCGGACTCTTGCTGATCACTCTGAGGAGTCAAAAGTTCTCCAGGGGCTGAGCCAGGATAAGACCTAACTGGGTCAAGAAGCATGTAGCCAAGATGGCCTGGGGATGTGGTGGGATGGTAGCCTGGATTTAGTATGGGCCTTGGGTACATCTGGGAACTTGCCCACAGATATTCTAAATCATCATCTTCTTCCTCCTTGACTTCTCCCTCCTCTAATTCCACCTCCTCTTCCTCTTCTTCCTCATCATCATCATCAGGCAAAGCCATCTCTTCGCCCCCTCCTTGGTAAGTCACCAAGCAGGAACTTCGTTTGGTTCCATCTCGGTTGGCCCTCTGGCCTCCAGAGGCCATGCTATCTGTCATACTATCCATATCTTGTTCTGCTATTATGTCACCACAACCTGTCAGTGAGTCAAAACTCTTCAGAGATGTGACATCCCCAAAGAGGAGGCTCAGCTGATCCCCTAAAGGGCCACTGGATGGATTTACCTCTCCTGCCACAAGCTTCTCCCCTGTTTCTGGACTATGGAGCTCCTCTGGGCCACTGGCTTCAGGGGCAGGTTTGGGTTGCAAGAGTGCTGAGGCAAAGGCCTCCAAGGTTTTTTCTGGATCTTTAAAGGCTGCTTTCTCAGTGGCTGTGGGAGAAGTCTCTGATATCGAAGAAACTTTCGGCCCAGGGACATCTTGGGATTTGGCATTTTCCTTTCTTGGGGCTTGGAGGACCTCATCATTGTGGGACAGAAGGGCTGAGCTCACAAACTCATGAGGCCTAGCTCTGGCCCCCTCAGACTTCTTGGCTCCTGGATTGCTTTGCTCAGCCCCAGAGACCTTGCTCTTCCGGTGACGGCGGATACTACTGAAAAAACCTTTCAGGCCTTTTTTTGGCTTGGGCACAAAGTGAGCCTTCTCAGCCCCAGCTTTCTCTGTGGCTCCAGCCACAGACCTCTTGCATCTGGAGCCTGTCTCCAAAGACCCATGGACACTCTGAGAGCTGGGAAGTCGGGATGATGACTCAGGCAAAGGTAAGGAGAGGCCGGTTCCTTCACTGACAATGTCTTCAGGGTCATGGACTGCTTCACTCAGGCCATCGTGGGTCTTGCTCTTGCTAAGACCCTTCTTAGAGCTGCCTTTCCCAGAACCTTTGCTTCGTCCCCCTCCAAAGAAACTAGGCAGGGTACAGATGCCCTTCTTGCCACCAAAGAGTTTCATGGCAGTTTTCTTCAGCCTACCTGGACCAGATGAGGGTGGCTCTGATGCGGGCCTTTCTGTTGTCTCAGATGCCTTGTTTTTGGCCCCTTTCTCTGTCCCTTGATCCTGGGTATCCATAGAGACTGTTGTTCCCTTGGCCTGAGCAGCTTCATCCTTTCGGGTCTCCATGATGGTGGGGAAAACTCAGGTGTATTCAGCTAAAAAATGCAGCCTTCTGGCTTCTCGGCACTGTTATAACATCATCAGTCAGGAAGCATCACAGCTGGGGCTGAAGATAAGAGAGACAAAGAGAGACAGTACTGGTGAGCAAAAATCCAGGCTGGGTTTGTTTTCACAGGTGTCTGTGGTTTCAGGCTTGAATTGAACCACAAAGAAAGAAAATATAGGGAAAATCTTAATGCACTCCATATGCTTGGCTTGTTGGATCAGCCCCCTCTAGGCCGCAAAGCAGCAAAACCATACACTGAACAACAGGCAGCCATGACCCCTACCCCATTTGCTGGGTCTACTCATTTCAGGTCACCTTAAGTTCAGGGGAGCACACTGGGCAGGGGGAATTGCAGATATGAAAAAGGCCCAGGTGCTATTGGCCACAGGAGGGATTATCAAGGGGTGGTGGTGTAGGAAGGTGGAAGGGAAGTCAGCTCTGATGACAGAGAAGTTTTGAAAAGCAGCTGGCAAAAACAGCCCATTAAGTATTCACTGGGTTCTGTAAGAACCAGGCCTCAATTTCACATTAGCCAGGGCTCTCACTGACATTTTGCCTGGAACTGGATAGAAAAGTAGACCTGAAGTTTCACTTTCTTCCTTCAGGCTACCTAAATTGCTTGTAGGACCATGCTCAGACCTTCAAAAGCCCAGAATAGGAGCCTTGCCGACCCACATTCCAGAGCTGCAATCCAGAATCAGCTAATATGGCAAGGTAGCCTCGGGGCAAGGCACTCTCTGGGATTCAGTATCCTCTGTCCGAGAGGCCTAGAAATACCTCCCTCTCATAGTGGTTATGTGAGGGATAGGTCTAACCTAGACTCTATAGTGACTGTTCTGCTGGTAACACATATTAATGTGGTCCACAGGGGCTTCCCTGATGGCTCAGATGGTAAATAATCTGCCTGCAATGTAGGAGACCGGAGTTCATATCCCTGAGTTGGGAAAATCCCCTGGAGAAGGGAATGGCTACCCACTCTAGTATTCTTGTCTGGAGAATTCCATGGACAGAGGAGTCTGGCAGGCTACAGTCCATGGGGTCGCAGAGTCAGACACGACTCAGCAATTAACACTTTCGGTTTCTGTAACTGAAACCACCATGAGAACCATGAGACAGACTGTCTCTTCTCTGCTCCTTTCATTATTTTGACCCCCATCTAACTTCCTATCTAGAAAGGGAACTCCTTGAAGGCACAACTCCACACAACTCACGTTCCTGGTCAGTTAGGCTCTGAACAGTTATTTCAATAAACAAACCTGATGCAAGACACACCCTTTTGGTCTAGACTCCCAGTCCTCTAAATAGCTAAATGTCACAGAGATAGAAAAAAAAAAAGGGGGGGCTAGCCAACATATCCCCTATCCCAATATATCCCCCTCCCCACCCCCATAGTCTGATGTATCCACTCCAGTGACTATAGCTGATTAACAGCTGGATCAGTGACCAGCCTGCTAAAGCCCAGTGACCCCTTCCTGGAAAGTCCCTCACCACTGTCCTCTCTTTGCAGGGTAGCCACCAGCACCTAAGGAGCTTGGGTAGGGAAGGGAGACAGAATAGCTGCTGGGAGCCAGAGAGACAGAGAGAAGGAGAGGCAAGCAACACTGTCATCCTAAGAGTAGCTGGCCAGCACATCAACCTTGTGACTGGTTGCCACGGTAAAAACACTCTCACATTCACCTACAGTGGGAAACTAAGAACTAGCACTCTGGGAGTGGAGAGAGCCTGGCAGCTACACTCTATCCTCTGACCACATTAGAGGAATCTTCCTGGAGTCCCTGATCTTGTCTTGCAAATAGTAATTTTGTGCCTTGTGCCATGCTTGGCCTGACATTTGACTCATCAACGTGATCTAAGCTTCCACAGAAGCTCTCTGCAGAACTTAATATTTAACTTGTAGCATGATAATGTTTGGTTACCCCCAAAATAAGAGAAAAAAATACCATCATCTGATCTCTGCAGAAATCTGTATTGCAAATTGCTCAGGTTAGGTTTTTGTGATTCTGTGTGACATAGTTTAACATGGCATTGTTCCAGCTCAGCCCTGCAACTGATAGGACCACAATAAACAGTGCTACCCCTCAAATACACAATGATACACACACACACACACACACACACACATATTCTGAGTCCTCTGCCGTGGGGTCAAAAGGGAATAGGGACCCTATCATCTATCTGAGTCCTTCACTTTCCAAAGCACAGATGTTTTTACCTCAGCCCTGAAATTACTGACAATGTTGTCATTATGGTGTTGGGCACTGAGGAGATGGGGTAGTGATAAGTGGAGTTATTTGTGAAATTATGTTCCCCTCTGTGGTATTAATGAAAGGAACCTCACTAGAACACTTGGTTAAATGATAATTATTAAGCTCAGTGCTGCCAGAAGGGTTCAAAACCCCAGTCCTTGCTTTTGGGAAGCTCCTAGGCTAACAGATAGAGAATCCTCTATATAACAGTCTAAAGGCACAATATGATGCAGACCTTAGAGAAGAGCCCTCCTTACTGGTTAAGCTGAGTACTGAAATATCATTCTTCATACCTTATGATCATGTCCCAGGATAAACTTGAAAGGCAAAAAGATAATCCCTGGGCTCAGAAAAGAGAAGGCCTTGAGAAGGAGGCATTCAATCTGGGCCTTTTTAGACAGGAGTGAGTAAAACTGTCTATTTAGAGGAAAGGATGGGTAAGACTAGTAAGTGTGGTTGGGCATCAAGGAAAACCAAAGGTTAAGCGAAAAACCTTATAGTCTTACCCATCCTTGTGACTTGAAGGCTTAACCGTCCTATGGGTTTTGGAGCTGGAATTCCTGCAAACAGAAGAATTAGGCAAACTGAATCTCAAACAGGGCTGCTTTATAGAACCTTGATGCCTTGGCTAGAGGGTAGTCCCTTTGGGCTTTCTCTTGCCCTTGCTTCTTTGCTCTGTTGGAGTAGAGGCCAGCCCACAGCTCTCTACACTGTCCCCTTCTCTGTCACAGGGATCAGCAGTATGCTGTGGAAAGAGCCATGGTCCACAGAGTTGGGTTCTAGATCATGCCAAGGCATCCATCTAAGCCTTGGCCACTTGTGAAATGGAGATCAAAATAGCTTCCTTATCTGTGGTCCACTGCAGTAATGTGAGGTTAGATGGGATAATGAACACCAAAAGCATTTTGTAAACTGTAAAGTGCAAAGCAAATGAGAAAGACTGGCATTCCTGTTATTTCAAGTCAGATCCCAGTTTCCTAGGAAGTAGTTGTTTGTTGTTATTTAGTCACTAAGTCGAGACCATGTGTAAAAAGCCACTCATTTGAGAGAGCCATTCAACTACAGGAAGTCCAAGGAACCAGCTGCCTTGGCCCATGCTGAGGAAGAGCCAAGGGTTAAGGGATTTTAAAGATGTTTGTGGATTTATACAAAGTCCTCTGTTAAGGGCAATTTAAAAAGCCTTCTGTATATGTGGTGGGAGTGGGTGAACTAGGCAGGGTTGTATCCCTGGGAATCAAATTCTCTTCCCCCAGCTTCAGGTCCTCCTCCTAACTAGGCCCAGGGCCATCTTTGCTGGCAAAGGCCAGAGTTGAAATTATGCTGTCTCCTACCTCCCTGCTTTATCCCTTCCAGAGCCAAGTACCCCACCCATAGAATCTCTGCCCTGTGTCCCCGACAAGGCAGTAGGACAGAAGCTGGCAGGAATTGCCTGTAGCTAGTGCCCCCTAAGCCCAGCTCCACCTAGCCATCTCACTCAGGCCTCTTTTTCATACTCCTTACTACCTCACCAGGTCCCAATGCTGTCCTTTCCCAGTGGGCTATGCTACCTTTGCTCGGGACCAGAGTTCAGGAGTGAGGTGGGGCAGAAGGCAAAGGGGACTGCAAAGGGAGAGATTCTGCAGCTCCCTCAGGCTGAGGCTGGCTCTCTTCATAGTTTCTGCCAAGAAAGTAGTCCTGCTAAGTGCAGAGCCCCTCCACCCTAAGGTTTTTCAAACTGCATGCCTATCTAAGTTTCAGTTGGACTGCTGGGTGAGGGAATACTGTAAGGCTACCCTGTGATCCCTGGCAGGGGCCACTAGCTGCAGCTATTGCTAGCATGGCAGGAATTGGGCTGTGTCCATCCCTGCTCCAGAGAGGCCAGCCTCAGGCCATTCTTAGACCAATGGAAGGCTAGGTCAGAGCTACTTCCTCCTCCTCTCATCTCAAAATACAGCAAGAGACCAGTCACAGATTTTTTTTTCTTTTTTTTTTCAGTCACAAATTTGCCCCAGGAATCCATCTCAGTAACGGGGAAACAGCTGCAGTGAGTCTTGCACATTCTGCTCCCAGCCCTATTTCCTGGGGCCAGCTCAGCCAACTTAGAGAAGGCTGAGTTCAGGGAAGAAGTATGTGGATTTATGCAGTAGCTCCAGAGGCATGGCCTCAACCAGTCGTAGATTCCCAGACCTTCTCCAAGAAGTTTTCCTGGGACCAAGCCCACTCTGGGTGCATCCTGAGCTTGTACATGCAGTGGAAGGTGGTCTAAGGAAGGAGTAATAAGGACAGGAAGTCCGGCCACCCTCCCCCCACTTCCTGAGAGTCAGCCAATTCTGCACTGTAATCAGCTCTCCCTACCTGGGGGAAATCCAGCAAGTTCTTTTGGTTTCAAATGGAAAATGAGGCTATTAAGAGTGCTTACCTTTTAAAGCTATTTTAAGGAATTAAAATCTGATGTATATAAAGTAACAAATAAAATCCATTATATAACAGAGGCTCAAAAACATAGCAACTAGTTTTACATATATTTTATTCAAACTGCTGCTGCTAAGTTGCTTCAGTCATGTCTGACTCTGAGCCACCCCATAGACAGCAGCCCACCAGGCTTCCCCATCCCTGTGATTCTCCAGGCAAGAAGACTGGAGTGGGTTGCCATTTCCTTCTCCAATGCATGAAAGATGCTGCTAAGTCGCTTCAGTTGTGTCCGACTCTGTGCGACCCCATAGATGGCAGCCCACCAGGCTCCTCTGTCCCTGGGATTCTCCAGGCAAGAATATTGGAGTGGGTTGCCATTTCCTTCTCCAATGCATGAAAGTGAAAAGTGAAAGTAAAGTCACTCAGTTATGTCTGACTCTTAGCGACCCCATGGACTGCAGCCTACCAGGCCTCTCTGTCCATGGGATTTTCCAGACAAGAATACTGGAGCGGGGTGCCACTGCCTTCTCTGTTTTATTCAAACTATAGTTGGACAATTTCTAGCAGCAAAACTACCTCAATCAGGGTTGACTAAGGTGCTTCCCAGGCTCTAAGGGTATGTCACCAAATCTTCTTGGGCCTCAATTTCCACAAATGGTAAATGAAGGAGGCTTCATTTCTTCTCACAGGAGGCTTCAGTTGTTCTTTTAGTCAACTTTTGATTTCGGGGGCCCAAAATGTTTCCTCAAATCAGCTACTGGTTAACAGCTCTGGTTTATCTGGGAATTTCCACTAGCCAGGTTCTCTAGCCCAAACCAGAAAGGTCAACATTATCTAAAGTATGGATACAAAGGAAATTCAAATCAATAAATGTCCTTCATCCACTTCTGGTACTTGTTGTTTAATCACTAAGTCATGTGCTACTCTTCTGTGACCCCCATGGACTGTAGCCTGCCAGGCTCCTCTGCCCATGGGATTCCCCAGGCAAGAAAACTGCAGTAGGTTGTCATTTTCTTCTTTAGGAGATCGTCCCAACCCAGGGATAGAACCCACATCTCCTGCATTGGCAGGCAGATTCTTTACCACTGAGCCACAAGGGAAGCACTCATGGTACTTACCAGCTTACAAAATGTTCCCCACTTCCTCACTCACCACCATTTCTCCTTCCCAGTGATCCATTAATCAGGCCTGGTTGCTGTTGCTGTTTAGTCACTAAGTCATGTCTCTTTTGCAACACTATGGACTGTACCCCACCAGGCTCCTCTGTCCATGTAATTTTCCTGGCATGAATACTGGAGTGGAGAATACGTTCTTCTCAAATGCACATGGAACATTCTTCAGGATATACCACATCCTGGTTCACAAATCAAGAATCAGTAAATTTAAGAAAACTGAAATCATATCAAGCATCTTTTCTGACCACAAGGCTGAGACTAGGTATCAATTACAGGAGAAAATAAAAACTGTATAAAACACAAATACATGAAGATTGAACAATAAATTTCTAAATAACAAACAGGTTATTGAAGAAGTAAAAAGAGAAATCAAAAAGTTCCTAGAAAAACATGACAGTGAAACCATGATGACCCAAAACCTATGGGATGCAGCAAAAGCAGTTCTAAGAGGGAAGTTTATACACAATCCTACCTTGAGAAACAAACAAACAAAAACATCTAATAGACAACCTAACTTTACACCTAAAACAACTGGAAAAAGAAGAATAAAAGACCCAAAGTTAGCAGAAGGAAAGAAATCATAAACATCAGAGCATAAGTAAATGAAAAGGAAATGAAGGGACAATAGTAAAGATTAATAAACTAAAAGCAGATTCTTTGAAGAGATAAATAAAATTGACAAACTTTTAGCCAGACTCATGAAGATAAAAAGGGAGAAGAATCAAATCAACAAAATTAGAAATGAAAAAAGCAGAGGTTACAATAGACAATGCAGAAATACAAAGCATTACAAAAGACGATTATGAATAACAATATGGCAATAAAATGGATAACCTGGAAGAAATGGACAGATTCTTAGAAAAGTTCAACCTTCTAAGACTAAACCAGGAAGAAATAGAAATAATGAACAACTCAATTACAAGCACTGAAGTTGAAGTTGTGATTAAAAAAATCTCCCAAAAAACAAAAGCCCAGGACCAGATGGCTTCACAGGAGAATTCTATCAAACATTTAGAGAAGAGCTAATGCCTATCCTTTTAAAACTCTTTCAAAAAATTGCAGAGGAAGGGACACTTCCAATTATTCTATGAGGCCACCATCACCCTGATACCAAAACCAGACAAAGACAACACAGAAAAAGAAAACTACAGGCCAATATCACTGATGAATATAGATGCAAAAATCCTCAACAAAATTTTAGCAAACAGAATTCAGCAACACATCTAAAAGCTCATATATCATGAACAAGTGGGCTTTATCCCACAGATGCAAGGATTCTTCAATATTTGCAAATCAATCAATGTGATACACCACATTAACAAATTGAAGGATAAAAACCATATGATTATCTCAATAGATGCAGAGAAAGCCTTTGACAAAATTCAACACCCATTTATGATAAAAACTCTCCAGAAAGCAGGCATAGAAGGAATATACCTCAACATAATAAAAGCCATATGTGAGAAACCCACAGCAAATATTATCCTCAATGTTGAAAAATTGAAAGCATTTCCCCTAAAGTCAGGAACAAGACAAAGGTGCCCACTCTCACCACTACTAATCAACATAGTTTTGGAAGTTTTAGCCACAGCGATCAGAAAAGAAAAAGGAAAAAAAGGAATCCAGATCAGAAAAGAAGAAGTAAAACTCTCACTGCTTGCAGATGACACAATCCTCTACATAGAATACCCTAAAGACACTACCAGAAAATTGCTAATCAATGAATATAACAAAGATGCAGGATATAAAATTAACACACAAAAATCCCTTGCATTCCCATACACTAACAATGAGAAAACAGGAAGAGAAATTAAAGAAAAAAATCTCATTCACCATTGTGATGAAAAGAATAAAATACTTAGGAATATATCTACCTAAAGCAACAAAAGACCTATATATAGAAAACTATAAAACACTGATGAAAGAATTCAAAGATGACACAAATGGAGAAATATACCATGTTCATGGATCAGAAGAATCAATATAGTGAAAGTGAGTAGACTACCCAAAGCAATCTACACATTCAATGTAATCCCTATCAAGCTACCAATGGTATTTTTCACAGAACTAGAACGAACAATTTCATAATTTGTATGGAAATACAAAAAACCTTGAATAGCCAAAG